CAGAGGAGATTCTGGTGGTGTCATGTAGTCAGTTTACGTGGTACCGGGGTGAAGGCTTCATAGGATGACAGCGACACACCTCGTCGAGGGGGAACGAATGGAAGACTGTGTTCGTCGCTGAAGATAGTCTTCGTGGGTGGGTAAGCGGTATCTTCGATAAAAAGGATGTTAGGGATCCGATGACCGTGACCGAAGTTGACAGGATAACCACCTTGTCCATATCCACCATCAGTTTGCTCGACACGCCCAGGGGGAGATTCGGATTGAGCATCGCTCAAGTCTTTGTAATTGTGCACTTGATCAGTCTGATACGGTATGCAATACTCGGTCTCCGCAGAAGAGCCTACCAGGGAAGTCTATGTCCATTGCGTGATCTGGCGCCGGCCTCGGTCCAACCGGCGGTTTGGGAGGTATGGGAAGCCGTCGAACGGTAACTAGGAAGGGACGAATCATCAAAAAATCAAGAGCGACGAACATTATTGTCACGGACCTCTCGGCATGACTGAAGCGGGCTGAGTGGTATTGACCTCAATCATTTGCTGGTCGCTATCGTTGGCCAGTTGTGCTGCCGGCGGAATGGCTAGCGGTGCTGTGAGTGAGTGGACCTAGAGGAAGAGCAGAAAGAACTCACGAGGTGGAGCGGTGGTAACAGCGGAAGGCTGAGGTGCAGGCACAGGCGGTGGTATGACGATGGGAGGGGGTGTCGACTGCGAGTCGTTGAGGTCGTTGGCGTCGTTGGCGGCGTTGGCGTCGGGTTCTTCGTATATAGCTTCATTAGCCCCCAAAACTATATGAACCAGCCGTGAGCTCCCGGAATTGACGCATTTCTCGGGATACATTACGTACAGTCGATGAATTTTCCATCCTTTTCGACTAGAACTTGACTACAGGCATTGTTACAGACGGGACAGTAGGCGGTGGTTGGCGTAACCCTCGTTCGAACAGAGCAGTTGCATGGCTCAAAACTGAAGGTTCTGAGACCTCCGTCACTGCTCATTTTCACCGAGCCGCTCGATCGGATTGAAAGGCGATCTGATGCGTCTTCGTCACTGCGACTACGACCGCCACCACGACCGGCGCCCCGTCCCCTGCCGCCATCGGGTTGGTTTTGGTGGCCTTGTCCACCGCCACTAGTCGGGGCCTGTTGCGAGTATGGGGTGCTGTTCTGCGATGACTGATTGGAGTTAACCGACATGGAGTAAAAGACCATGTTGATTGAGGAATTGTTGTCGGGGTAGGGGATTCCGGCGGCGGCCATCCCGCCGCATGCGCGTGTGCAGTAATCGAAACCTGGGTTCTTGGGATATATTTTGCATCGATCGCAAGGATCAACTTCACCATTCGTTACCGCTTGGCTGGAAATACAGTCAGAACTAAGCAAGACATGATATTCAGCGGACACGGGATAATGGCTTTGCATACCGGGAATGGTCCTTCGAGCAATAGATGAACCGACCCTGGACGGGATTTCCACATCCCGAGAGTGGACATGTACGCTGGTTTCCGGAACCACCGCCGTAGTTCCTGCCTCGTCCGCGAGAGTGGCTAGCGCTCATATTCCGGTCTTTGAGGTCCTGAGCGTCTGGGTTCTATAGTGATTGATTCACTTGGAGAGACTTTTAGGCCTTCAAGGGCGTTGAGCGTCGCAACCAATGCTCTGCACAACTGATATGTGGTTTGGTGGAGGAGTGACAAGGCGGAGGAGTGGGCGGAGGTACAGGAGAGGTGCAAGTGGCGGAAGCTCTGAGAAAACGGACATATCGGCGAAAGGCGCAATGCAAGCCATCGCAGTTGCACGGGAGGTCCCGCCGCTTCCTCGCCACCTCCCACCTGAAATCCCGTTGAACAACTGTCTTCTAAGCGAGCCCAGTATTTCTTTTGGAGCCACTTCTGCGCCGTATCCCTCTATCTTGGACGGCCTTGTAGCCTTGCGCCTCCAGATCTCCATCCCGCCAGCCTTGGCCATTCTCTAACCCAGGTCAGTACGAGGCTGAAGAACTCGGAAAGCTCGCGTGTTTAACTCCCTTAAGTGAAGAGACACCCGACTATTGATGTCTTCAGGCATCTGCGAGGTACGCAGGGGACCTAATGTAGCAGCACGGCGGCTAAGAGTAGAATCCTTTTAACATAGAACTGTTACCAGAACTCCAAGAGGCGTGAACGAGATAAACGGGGTAATACCGTCATATATCCTTACTGTGACAGCTGTGACGTGAGGCGCCATGAAGCCGCTCAAAGCTCGATTTTCCCGGTCTCAAGCATTCCTATTCCTGCGGCGGCTCCCGTATCCGCAAGCACGAACTCAGTGAAGCTTTGGAGTGAACGCGCCAACACGCCGATCGAAAGGAGCAGTACGAATCCGAATCTTCTCGCCAGTTTATCCTGTTCATGACACTTGTATCGCTCGCTTCCGTTAGTCGTTCGGACACTGCAAGAGCGTTGGCAGTCCGACACCCTCGGCGCTCCGCTTCCAAAAGGCGTACATCGAATCGACTTACCAAAGGAGATTTATCGCCGATTCGACCTTGCCTTGTGAGCCATTTCTACTTATAGATGTTAATGCGGGGATTTCAGAGTGCTATTTATAGGCAAATGAACGATGGTTGCCCTGTGACCACAACCTATTATGGCGGGATTGCCTCGTGCAATATCGTCGACAATCCAGGCTCGACACCATGCGATTCTGAAGTCTGCGAGATATGCGACGTACTTCGCACTTCCTTCGGGAATCTTCCATACGGGATATCGTCCCGTGACGGAGCGTAAAGTCAACTCGCTTTAATCCCGATGCTTTATCTGCTAACTAGAGCGTAAACCCCACCCAGTCATGGATCGGGGCTATACACGCATAGGAACCCTGCAGTCGCCCACAGTGTTGCACTTTCCCAATCAAGTTCGGACAGCGGGGAGACTTCACACACCAACTACGCACTGATCCAATGTCGCCTAGTAGCGGGAGAGAGCTCTCAAAGCTCGAGGCCGTACACCGTAAGCTGAGGACCAGGCTTCTTTTCTCTCTACTGATCCAACCACGCGTAGGGTTTCATCGACGACTCTGGAGGGGCATTTTGTGCTCATCCGGCTTCTATCATTCCGACACATCTTCTGATTTACCGCGTTGTTCCAAGCTCCGTGAACCACCTCGAACACTCTAGACCGCTATGGACCAGCAACGCTTCAAACGTCAAAGGCAAAGGTCTTAGTAAGAGCCCGTGCATATCTTTCTGCTTGTAAATTAGACATAAATCCCGCCGGATAGCGAAGGATTTCGGCTCAGGGTCAAACGCTGCGAGCGCTTCCTCTCTGACCGGCAGTAGTAGTGCTACTCAAGGTGTTCCAGATACCCAAACAGCAGGAGGGAAAACTTCAAGGGCAGATGTGGAGCGCTCTGCTAAGACCAGATCAGCACGTGGGAGGCACACTGATTGTCTCCCTTTGGTAATTGGCTGATCTGTTTCAACAGGGAACGCTGTGGCAGGTAAAGCACCAATCCAGCAAGGTAACGATCGACAATATCTTTGCTATATAGGATACTAAAATTAATAACAGTACTCTATCAAAGCAATTTGTCATCTCCCGGGCCGGGCACTCTCTGTAAGTACGCCGCCGGACGGGTGGCCAGACGGGGCTCAACCAGTGCTTCAGATGTCATTACACCTTCAGGTCCCATCCCTGTCCAGCAAGCACCTCCAGGTGCTACCCTATGTAAGATAAAGGATTAGGCTGCTTCATGAGCTGAGATTAAATCGGATACTTTTTAAAGTTGTAATGGGACCGGACGGACACCTGCACCCAACGCAAGCGCCTGCATCAGGAGGTGCGATTAGTGCAGACATGCTACCGAACACAGGTCTCACCCAAACCTTGTGCTTTAGACGACTTGAACAACAACTCTAAGAGTCCGCTACCTCGTAAGATCATATACCGTGCTTGCGACTCGGACACAACCTTATGGGATGACTCTTTTAGGCTCATCTCGTCCAGCGTCGATCTCCTACAGTTAATAGTATTGCTTTATAGACATGTTGATGCCGGTGACTTACTTGTCGACATATGTAGGTCCCGCTGGTCAACAGAATTCGAAGGCAGCGAAGCAGTCTTTCTACCCCGCTGCGAGTGTGTCAAGCTCGCGCCTCGTCCACTTAACCCTTGTTCACATTTTGACAGATTACGGCAGTACGCACCCTGTTAACGCGGATCAGGACGAGGAACTGCGAGCGAATGGTGCCAGCTCTTCTTTCATGCTCTCTCGTCATTGATACTGACCTCAAGGTATAGCTGCTGCAGCTCGCGGATGTGTAAAGAATATAGACTCTAGGCTGGACGAGGATGATGATTTTGGCTTTCTGAACGAAATAGATGAAGACTAGGCAAGGAGGCAGGCGAACGGCGATGCGACGAGGAAGAGAAAAGGGCGACTCCACCTCCGACTATAAACCTCTGCAACGCAGAAGCCTCCGAAATCTGACGGCTGCTAAGGAAGCAAGGCAATGATAAATAGGCCCAGGAAGGAGGATGTACGACTCCCAGCAACTCTGTCGACCCCCTTCCTTGACGCTCAGCTCGCCGCTTTAAAAGCTTTAGGTCCACCCTAATTCTTGTTCCGAGGCTTTCATGAAGGCCATAGTTTCGACCCCTCTGTTTTACTGTGCTCATTGACCGATTCAATCATTAGTTAATCCCTAAGCTGAGCGTTATGCCGTCAAGGATTCCTATGATCTTGTTAACCGAACGCTCCCGTCAGGGCGATGGGGTTGAGTTGACTTGCAGCAAACATTCCACATCACTATCGAAATTAGAGCTTACTACGAGAAGAGCTTCCTGGAAAGGATGAAGAGCAAAGATAATTAACTAGACCACTTTTCAAGGGGCTCATGAGTCACAACAACGCTGCAGATGGAGTGATGCGAGACGGCTTGAACAAAAGACCGGCACGACGATACAAGCGCCCACGCACGTCGTCAATAGGAATCAATGGTATTGAGGGATCTAAAAATAGTAGGTCCATCCCGGATTCGAACCGGGGTTGTCGGAATGTCTGTGACCCGATGAATATCAGAATCTGAAGTGATAAACGCTACACTAATGTACCAATGCAAGCCACTCGTTTCTATGACACCCTTATAACTTGATTTAACGAGCATAATTGTCGTTGGATGCAAATGCCGCTGAAAGAATGCGCTCGGAAGGCTCGAACTTGTACAAGACACCAGAGGTCCAATGCAGCGCGCTGATTCTGGGATACAGGAGAATGCGTTACTGATCGACTTGCGACAGCTCGAAGCAAAATCCTTGCATAGCCAATGACGAGGTATTTAATGAAGTTCCTCCCAAACGTTGGAGGTCCCGCCTACACCTAAGTTGACCGTGTGATGTTTGGTTCAAGCCTCGAGCCACCAGACCCCATCACCCTCCAATATCCTCTCCAGTACTCAAAGCTTGTCCACCTTGTCTTGAACGTGCTAATATCCACAACAGAGGCCGTCATTCGCAATACTTGGATCTAAGATGATGAGAAAGCTGTCCCAGAAGCCAGAGACACAGCTCTGCGTGGTGCGTAGCACTCATTGAACCGAAGGCGTGCTCATGCTAAGGTTCTCCTATTTGAGAACTGCGGAATTCGACCGAAATTTGGAGTACACGAGTATTGTGGAAAAAGTGAGACCAAGTTCCTTAACAGTAATTCTGCAAAGAATGAGAAACGATGAGCCTTCGCTGTTCAGCATGTAAGGACGAGTTTGAAAAAGGAAGACGAGTAAGTATTATGGCGCGTTAGAGCTATCCTCGGGCTAAGCGACCTCAAACCCATCTTTAGACTTCCCCCGTCCTTTCAATTCCTCCCTCCGCCAGTGAGCGCTTAACCACTACCCCTCCATACGAGGCTCAAAGCTCAATAACTACGCCCTTTGCGTCTTTCATCGTAGATTTAGGCTCCATTCAAGGCAGTCTAACCAGGGATCAAGCACTATCCCCGGTTTCGGTCATTCCCGTTCCAGCTGCTGCGGGGCATCGGGAGGACATTTCCATTCGACCGGAAGATCTTTCAAGCCCGCTAGCAAAGCGCAGTGAGTCTCAATCGCGATATAACACCTATCTACATATCTGACTCTTTGTAGTAACTGATATCATGACACAATGCTGGAAATCAAGTAGAGTGCAACTAGCCAATGTGAAGGCGATTTATCGCCTCGAGCTCCCAGCGAGTATTTATCGTCGGTTTGACACAGCGCTGTAAGTTAATGAAAGAGCTGCTCATATAGGTATTGACTCCCCAAGGTCACCAGACAGATGAACGAGGGGTGCACTATTACTACCAGCTATTATGGGGCTCGGGACACATGTGGACTCAGTAACGACACTCCAGCAAGAGCAAATCCTTGCATCCTTGAGTATTGCCCCTTGTGCACGGCTATACGCAGTGCATTCGGAAGTCCGCTCTACGGAAACTCCTCAAACGATGGAATGTAAGAGTAGAGCTTTCGAAAAGGGGTTGGCCGTTTTTCTGCTGACTCTCAGCTCTTTACTTCGAACAAGATATGGGCCTGGGATTTATACACACTTGAATTCAGCGGAAGCGCATTGCCGCGTAACCGAGAAGTCAAGTAAGGGACTGGATAAACATTCATTCGCGCTGTTACAATGTCGCGTGGTCACTGAGGGAAGTGACAAAGTGTACGCTGTGAGTATGTAATTCGGAGTGATCGCGACCAATTTAGACTTAAAGGAAGAAATAATTGAAGGCTCGTGTCGAGGGAACGGGCCTCGTTTTTTGCGCTCAGGCTATCACCATCATTCCGACGCACTTAATCATCTACGGTACATCCATCGAAAACGAAACTCCGACCGAGAAAACAGGTATGTTCATTCACAAAGGTTCCGACTTTATAGACGGAATCGAAAGCTCTTCATTTCAATCGGTTCCGTTGTTGGAAAGTAATCTCCTCTATCACTGGTTTCCCTTCCTCTTTTTGCCATCCTCGTTTCAATGGAGTTCAAGGCGCCGGTCTCCATTGACCAGACTTCCTTAAATAGGTTTCTCTCGGTCTGTAGCCCTACATGGTGTCCGGACTGGACTTTCAGCTGGGTCGTCAGCAGATCCTTCGAGCATAATCTCAAAACCTCCTGGTGAAGCTCATCTGTTCCAATGGATGACTTGAAAAGACTTGCTTATCTTCTTCTGCAAGACCCCGTGTCTTCAGTAGGTCAAGAGTTTGCTAATGACGACGTCCAAATCTCCGGTGAGCTTGTGTTTGTTTTAACTGGCCTAATGTTAGCCTATTAGCTCAAGGTACTACCAGCAGGTCGTAGCTTTGAAAAATTGAATTCTCGATGGAATATGGAAGATAACATTGAGGACGAGGAAGTGGAAGATGAATCTGATGAATCTGATAAACGGCACGTCACCCTTCCTCATAACGCAAAAGCAATTCTCTTCTACGAGGAAAACGGGCTTTACTACGAGTTCACCCTCGCCGGACCTTATCCTATCGCTTTCAGAGGTAAACAGTACCCCACCACCGAACATTTGTACCAAGCTAGAAAGGTCTGCTTTCAAGTTGCCCTAGCCGGCTCCAACTGATGCGTCTCGTCATGTAGCTGACGATATCACTATGCAGTTTTTGGACCATCGACCCATTCTCGCTGAGCACATCCGACGCGGAAGTGATCGACCTCGATTCGCTTGGACCGAAGCTCGTAGATTCCAAAACGAGACTCGACAGGATTGGAATGACATCTGCATCTCTGTTGTAAGCGTCTATGTGCTGTTATCGCCACCGAACTGAGAATCCTTCGCTGTTACAGATGGATGAAATTTTAGAACTCAAATTCAACCAGCATGTTAAACTTCGGCGCATGCTTGTTGCGACGGGTAGCCGTCTTCTGATCTACGTAAAAAACTCACTTAAGCGTGACTATCACACATGCTGACCATTCACCATGTCTCATACAGAACTGCGGGAAACATGATGACTTTTTGGGAAATGGGGCTGACGGGAATGGTCGCAATGAGCTTGGCCTTGCCTTGATGAGACTCAGAAGCAAATTGACGAAGCGCGAGGTCAGTGAAGAAAAGTAAAGAAAAGGTGCATATTAGAGCTCTGGGGTTTCTCGCATGTCTGTAAATCTATCTTTTACGCTAAATCCTGATGTACTCCTTGCATGCACTCGTCCAAGCATGTGTTTGTAGTATTTCGAAGCCGCAGCCGCATTGACTGATCACCTCAAGCCATCGCGCTACCGTTGGGTAAATGATTATTTACCTCTTTACGTCTCATTTATGGACTGTGTTGCCCCGAAGCAGGAAATGATCACGTTCACTACTATGGACAAGAAATAAGCAGCACGATCTTTGTTCCCAACCAATTTATGACCCAATCGACCTTCCCAGTAACAGCAGATTGAACGCTTTTAATGAGCTCACAGTATGTAAGTCCGGAAGAAAGTGGCAGTTGTCAAACACGCCGCCTGCTAACGAACTTTACTATGGAATTGAGGAGATTTCAAGAGTCAAGGAAGAGTCTTGAGAGCGAGACCCGTCGGCGGCACGGAGCGAGACGAGCAAGCAGCATAGATGACAATCCTGCTAAGCTGTCCCTCTGTGAATAAACGTGGCGCCGCATGTGCTCCGTGGTACGCGACTCCTTTCAAATTGATAAACAAAATTCAGCGGGAAGAGGTGTTTTTCCGGTAAGACCGTATGTTACGCGGTGATCAGGTTTTGTATTCGACCAATGCCTCTATTCTTTAGGCTTTGACGAGGGATATACACTTCCGTCTCATCATTTAAGAAAGTCTAGGTCACCCAAACCGCCTCTTTGGAATGTCTGATAAGTTAAGATGAACGGCAGGGCATGGGACTATCCGGCGAACCCGTCAAATTCGCAATACTCGACCGCCCTCCTCAGTGACGTTGTCGAGGGTAAAGTCCTTGACCGCCCCACCGAATGGCTACTGTTCTGTGAGTTGGTATTGAAATGCGGTTCATTTCAACACTAAGCGAGACCGTGACATACCCGCCAACTGGGTCGATGGATTCAACTGGCAGTACTCCACTTATGACGACGTGGTCATTGTTTGAACGTCTCTGAGTGTTTAGACGGGTGCTGATGGGTCCGCCTACCACGATGCCAGACAACCTTCTTGGATGCTGGTTTTGAAGGGTTGAATGGTTGCTTCAGGATACCCTTGCCTTTTTGCGTTGACTTTAGAATGCGAATACATCTTGTGTCCGAGATATGAACAAATGAAGGGTTCCTTACAATTAGACCGGTTGCGGCAGAAGTTTGGCACGGTCTCGGCGAACTCACGGTCGACCCTGACGACTCACTTCCCACCTCCCTCCACTTGAATCCACACCGCACAGAATGAACGAAATCATTGACAACCTCTGGCTCGGTGGACTCGACTCCTTTTATGACATAGACAAGTTCCGAGAGAAGAACATTGGATATGTCCTCACCGCAATGCGTGGGGATATCACGTTACCGATGCCAGTGCGGACTGGCCCCATCGTCTCCGCTCAGTTTCTGAATCACAACATGTTCACTGACATCATAGCAATGGGTCCACTATCAAGTTGAACTTGATGATACGGAATATGATGACTTACTCGTATGCCTACCGCCCGCCGTTGCCTTCATCGAAGCTGCCCTGAAAAGTGGGAAAGGAATTCTCGTCCATTGCGTCGCTGGAATAAGTGTGTTTCCACTACACAATATCTAGTATTCCGGTATCTTAACTCAGATATCCTTTTCCTGGAACCAGGTCGGAGTGCTTCGATCGTAACGGCCTACCTCATGTATTCGCAGAAAATTGACCTTGAAAGCGCTTTGAAAATCGTACAGGGGAAACGTCCAATCGTTGGGTATATCGTTCACATAATTAGGACTGAGCTTCGTGGGCGAGGGTATTGACGCGTTGACTTCTAGCCCCAATGAATCTTTCCTCAAGCAGTTGGAATTGTTTCATGCGGCAGCGTGTAAGCCTTCCAGCGAGAATCCAGCGGTTCGGCGGTTTTACCTCGAGAGGGCTGTCCATCAGATCATGAGTCTGCATCATTGCTTTAGAGTCTCTTCTGGGAAAATACTAATG